CTGGCTCCTCARATCCTGCAGGTACCTCACTGAAAAAGGAGAAGGGTCAATCTTGGGAGGGCTTTGTGCAGAATGTTTCGCCTTCAGAGAGCTCAGCCAGGCAGGGAAGTGAGGGTCTGCAAGAGGCTCTGCTCCCTCCTGAAATCCAGTGCCTTGGTCTGGGTGGATGCTTTAATTTCAGCAAAATCACAGCGCTGCTTCTTAATTCTTGGCCTGCAGACAGAGTGTGATGATGATTTACTTTGACTTTAGGAGTTTCCTCCACAGATGCATCTCCATCCCTTCCTTAGCTGAGTGGGTCCTACAGGTGCAGAGCTTTGCCTCTGCGGTGCAGCAGAGAGCCTGTTCATCAGCCACTCGTGGGGCTGTTGTGTGAAGCAGGGCTGCTGGAAATGGCTGACGGTATTTATGGGCGTTTTGTGGGTGCTTAATGGCAACTTCTTACCAGTAATGTGCTCTCTGTGGTGGCTCCCAGRTGCTCCCTGGATTCACAGTCGGGTTCACAGCAGGTTGCAGGGTGAAATATCTGAGCCATAGRCCAGCCTTTACCAGTGGGCATGCAAAAATATGATTTTTCTGTCTTATCAGCCCTCTGAACAGGACTCATAGGGTTGTAATTTCCTCAGGCTCTGGCTGGAGCAGTTAAAAGGAACTGCCTGTAGTTTAGGTTGCCCCTGCCACCCCTCCGTCCCTTTCCACTACAGCAGGGCAAGTGCTTGTTGGGCTGTGCTGTGAACTCCATTGCTGAAATGATCTGGGTTAAAAATAACCGTGTAAAGAGTTAAGGGGTATATTTTTAGCCCAGATCATTGCAGTGATCCAGTTTACAGCACAGCCCCACAAACTCACACAGCTGCAGGGGAGGGGGAAGGGGGAAAGGAAAGGTCAGGGGAGAACGGGTGGTTGGAAACATAAGCTGTCTTTCTGCTGAAACCAAGCCCTTATGAAACTGTGCCCCAAAAGCATTGATGCTCTCTTATTTTCCTCTGGCAGACTGACAGCTACCTTCTCATGGTGCAGCACTGAGACCAGGGTGCTGAATATCACCATTTCTGGGTCCTGTGTCTGGAATCAAACATTAGCCCTGAGCCTCAGATGCTTTATTGTATTTGCCTCTGAGACATTGTATTTGTCATTGCTTTTGCCATGTTTGCTTTTGCTGAGGTAGATTGTGTGTGCTGCAATGAAAAGACCCCTATGAGAGTCACAGGGGAGCTTTGCAGCTCTCGTGTGAGCATAATGGGCTGGTGTGAGAACAGGCTGCAGGGAATCATTCCTGTGAAGCTGTTTTGAAACAAAGGAGGGATGTGGAGGTCGGGGATTGGCCTCAAAATCATGTCTGGGTGGAGCTGCATGAGCATGGGGGTGACGGTTGCACAGGACCAGTACCAAAAATTGTGAAACCATCACTGATTTCCTAGCTGCTGAGTACTCCAGCGTTGCAAGGTGCTGTGGAAGTGTTGCTTTCAGATAAAAGGTGAACCGTCTTGCCAAAATCTTCTACCTGCAAAAGCAAACAACTCAGAAGATTCATAGGGGAGGGAAGGAAAATAGGGAAGTACAGATCTCTGCTGTTACTCAGCTGGTGTTTAGCCAAAACACTCCTCTGTATGACAGCCAGGAGAACTTTCCYCTTTTCAGCAGTCAAACCAGGTACACAGTGGGACATTTCTGTGGGGACCCAGTGCACCCAGGCAGCCTGTGAGAGGAGCAGGGATCTTGTGCTAAAAACAGTGGCCTCCCTTCACACAACCTGCAGAGTCAGGGGTTGGTGGGCAGTTTTGCTCTCACAACAGAGGCAAGGACTCTAAAGCATAAGGAAGGAGAGCATTGTGAGGCTCAAATTGGCACATTTGTATTTCAAACACAGACAAAGGCAGAATTTTCTTCCCCAGTGCTGCWGATAGGGGTTAGGCTAAGTTTTAAAAGCAGGTGAAGAAATATGGTGTTGAAAACAGTTTTCAAATTTACTCAATTTTATAATTTRTTTGGAAAAGCAAAACAAACCCGTTACAGAGAACTTGGTAGTTGCACTTCCTTTTTTTTTGCAGAGAGTGCCATGCTTACATTGATGGCATAATTCAATTCCTGTTTACAGCTCTGTCTGACATTTCTCAGAATATTCAATGCTTAGACACTTATTTTTATGGAACAGTAAAAGACCTCAGRGCAGCAGTCACCAAATAACCGATGGATGAAGCCTTTACCCTTAGCTCAGTGGTTTTAGCCAAGGCTTCTCCTCTGAAAAGGAAAAAAAAAAATCAGCAGTTGGCTGCAAAAAAAGCACAAAAAGAAAAAAAAAAGAAAAAAAAAAACGGAACAGAACTGCTTCTCATCACCATTTAGAAAAGTAGGGGTGGGTTATGTCACCCAGGTGAAAAATGTGACCAGTAATGGGAGAGGTTGCATTAATGTTGTGGGCAGGAGAGAGCCAGCACTGAGCTCTGAGGTGAGGATGATACAGTGAGGCTTCCCACCTTACTCCCAGTGKGGGGAAGGAGGACATGGAGTCTGCCAGCCCAGCTCCTGGAAGTCACAGAAATGATGTTCTCCTTGCAGTGCAAGGAAGGAGCTTTTTTCATCCAAATACAGCACTTWCGCTTGACTCAAAGACACAGAGCCTGGCACATCACCTGTGGGCGGGAAAAAAGGCTGTAAAGAAAGCTGGATAGAGGACAGCAGTGTAACTGCCAGAAGGGATCTGAGAAAGGATCCTTTCCTTCCTTTATTTTCCGTAATCGGAGAGTCTGCAGCTGGCAGTTTCTGGAGGACACAGCCCCGTGGGCTACTGGTGCTAATCTTAGAATGGCATGTTCAGTGCTTCCTGCACCCCGGCCCCGAGCCCCGCGCCCGCAGAGCCACCAGCACGAGACACCCATGGAGCCCTGCTGGCCTCCCAGCTCTGATCAAAGAAAGGGAGCTGTGTTTTCGACTGAAATTAAAAGGAAAAGAAAGAAAGGAAAAATTCACCCCGAAAAACAAGAGGTCAGAGAGGCCAAGAGGAAGTTCAGTGTCTTCTCTGGGTAAAGGCAAAGGGCTGTGAAAGAAGCTCTTGGAGAAAAATGGACTACAAGGGAGGCAGYGCTTCAGTGCCACAGACACTGAGTACTTGCAGCTGTTTCATTTCAACTGAGTCCTCACCTCAGGTGTCGGTTCTGCCATGCCCAGGTATCCTGTGAGCTGATGTGATGAGCCAAGCCTCCCCAATCATCCTGCATTTTCCAGGTGCCCTCCTTGCTCCTTCCTCTTTCCAGCCTGCCCTCCCTTTGCACCAGGGAGACAGCCTGCATCTGGGAACTGCTCTCCCTCCCTACTTAGCACAGCCATCATTYTTCATGTGCAGCAAGTTGCCCTGCTGATCTGCTTACCTCGCTGTTTCTGCCATTCCATTATCTACCACTTTCCCTGCCTGTAATTACTCCAATGAAAGGCGAAAAGATGAGGGGAAGATGCATGGAGSTCACTGGGACAAGGCATCTTGATACCACTTCCTTGGATGTAGGAAAGCTATTCCAGAGTGTATGGGAAGTTTAACAGGGAATGGCAGACACCTACAGGGGCTTGTGGGTCTGGGAAAAAGMAGATAACATTTATTGGGTGCACGCACTTACAGTTGTCTGAGGAAGGGAAAGGCTGTTTTCCACGATGCAAACAGGCTTTATCCACTCTGCTCTCTACCAGGCATTTCAGATTAGAGACTGCTCCAAGCTGTGCGTGACAAGATGATCCTCAATGCAGCCTCCTTGATTTGCTTTTAGACTAGAAATTGTGAGTCTAAAAGCATCCCTTTCTTAATATGATTTCAAGTTGCCGGAGCTGTTTCTTCAGTCCCTGGAGGGTGGTTGCCCAAAGGAAGTGGTCTATACCTGGGCCAGATGGGTGTTTTGAGGGCTTTTCACCTCCAGTGATGCTGAAGGCGTGGTTGTGTTCACCAGACAGCAGGTCTTTCCTGGGCAGAATGATGKCAAGGGAGAGGGAAAGGCTCTGCTGGAGTCTTTGGAGAAACACAAATGTATTCCTCCAGCAATGGTCTTTGGGGAAGCTTTCTGACGAGGGACATTGAGGCAGTGGGGTGAGCAGTGTGGTGCTGGTCATGGGTTCATGGTGGTGGTACAGGGAGCAGACATAGGAGGTTGCTTACCTGTTGTTCACAGCCTGGTTTCTTGTTCTGAGGTCTCCACCTCTTAACAAAATGAGGATTGTTGGTTAGTTACTCTCAGTTCCTCTGGTCTGGTTTCCCTGGCATCAGATACTGGAGATGAAGAACAAAGGTTTCCTTTCATCAACTTTGATTTCAAGGCTTTCTGCTCAAATTGCTCGATAGACACATTGCAAAGCAAACAAGGTAAATGTGGGATGACACCAGGGCAGTGTGGTGTGGGAAGAGCTACATCATCCAGACTCCAGCACAGGCCTCCTKCTTCTCAGCCTGCTGTTGACCCAGGGGAGGGGAAGCTTCTCTCAGCCATGGTATTTCCTCCCTCCCCTCCACCCGCCTAGCATTTTGCTGCCAAAAAGGCAGAACAGCACAGGGACACATCTCCAAGCAGATGTTGGCTTGCTGTGAGGACTGGGAATGTCATCTCACAGCAGAACCACTGGAAAAGCAAGGATGATGGTGAGCAGGGCAGCAAAAAGCTATGGGAGGGCTCAGGAGGTGCATGGGAATGTASATTACTGCCCTGCTCCATCTGCTCGTTGCAAGGATAAAAGGAGCATTCACTTGGCTTGAAATACCTGGTTTGCTTCCATTGAAAAGTACTGAGTGCAGCCTCTTCAGCTGGAGCAGAAAACACTCTGCATGAATTACTGATTTTCTGGGATATTTGAAAATGCTGCTAAATCCTGCCTTCCAAAACCTCTTGCTCTCTGGCTGGGTGATTGATGCCAGATGTRAGAAACTCTGCATTAAGTCCCTGCTTACTCTTGAACTTTGTAACACATACACGGGCTTGTTTTTCCCAGCCTTCACTCATAACTTCTTGTTCTTGGTTTGTCAGAACAGGCCAGCAGAGACCAACTCAGAGGTGGACAAGTCGGCAGCACCCTCAGTSGCTCAGCTAGCAGGGAAGTTCAAAGAGCAAGCAGCCACTATCCCTGGAAAAGAGGTAAGGTGCTCTGCACCCACCAGCAGGAAATCGAGTGGGAAATCAATCACTTGCCTCTTCCTGCTGGAGCATCAGCAATCTGAGCATGGATCCACYTTGATTTTGGATCCACACCTGCAATGCAAGCTGTGGCTGTGTCTTCCATGAATTTCTGACTGGTGGATGAGTATTTTGGTAGAGCCCTATGTTGAGAAAGACACGAACTGGAACACTGCAAAGCTTGGTGGGGCATACAGATTGACCCTACAGCAGCAGACAGCAGTGCATGCATGTCCTGTTTGGGCTGGCTTTTGTGGGCAGACAGCGGCAGTGAATAATGAAATAGCCAATACTGAGCCATGAAAGACAAAAGCAAACAGCAGATTATGCAATGTAGAAGCCAGTGGCAGGTCATCAGCACCTTGTTCATAAAAGGTTTCTTCCAGGTAATTACTTCTGTACGGGTCTGAGAGAAAGCTGCCTCTTTACTTACCTTCATTGCCTCTTCCCAATAATATTTCAGACTCTGCCTAACTCTATCATGCTGAAACTTTGTTATAATGAAAGCCCACTATGCCAAGCATCGCCTCACAAACTGTTTTTCTAATCAAAACACTAGAATACCTGTCTACAGAAGAAAGGAGAGTCAGGGTTATTTGTGGAAGGAGGTTGATGTTTTAGGAGAGCTTCCTGCCTTTTTCTTTTAGCAGCATAAATGTTTGCTGGTGGCCCTTTTCAGGCAGCGTGTGTCTTTTGAAACTGAACTGCYCCCTTCTGCTGCTCAGGGAGAGCCTGAGGGTATCCTCTCTGTCACCCCTCCTGTCCTTGGCTGGATGCAGTGGTGACCTCTGCCCTGCAGGGCTGGCATGCCATCATCTATCAGAGGTCAGCACTCCCACAGCCAGGCCCCAGGACAGGAATAGCCAATCTTTTCCCAAGCATTATTTTTTCCCTTTAGTCACCAGCACACCACTCTATCCATCCCATTACAGTAATTTCYTCTTTTGAAGGTAGGGGATTTAATTGCACTAAGTTCCTCACCCTTCAGAAGGCAGAAAGTTCCCAGACCTCTTTTGTGTTATCTGCAGACCTCTGCTGCTCCCAAGCCAGGGCAAACGTGGAGGGGCCTCACAGTGTGGGGAAACTCCTTTTCTCCAGAGACAGAGGAGGACAAAGTTTCCTGTCTTTTCTCTCCAAGCCATCTGTCACTTCCCCACTGCTTTCYCAAGCTGCCTTCAGATTAATGGCTGAGTGGATGGTCTTTAACCCTTGCTTGGCCCATGCCAGCAGACAGGGTTAAAGGGAACCTCTGACACTGTGGCACAGCACAGCATTTCATGGTTGCAGAATGGCAGGGTTTCCATAAGAATTTCCATATTATTGCTCCCTAGCATGACACAYGGATAAGGGCAGGGCTGTCCTGGACTTCTTAAGGGCACAGCAGTGCCACAGCTGGGTGCAGCACCTCCAGAAGTTAAGTGACATCAAATCCACAGGTTATCCAAGACAGCCAACTCTGCTGCAGAGGGCAAAGATGCCATAACCCAACTTTTCACATGCCAGCCTGTGAGAAGGTAACAATATTATCCGAATGCTTTATTGTGGATATTATCCAAGATCCACAATATTAGCCAGTTATTTTGGAGTATTTTTTTAACACATGAAAAGTGTGTTAACCACTTGGCAGGAGACTGCAAACCTGGCATAAAAATAGAGGCAGCTTGGCTTCAAGACCAGAGCAACAGCTTCATGCTATGAATCTCTTCATTCCTGGGGAGCTCTCTTGTACTTKTGAGAGTCTAAAGAAATTCAGAAGGAATCAGTATCCCTGCCATTAAGTTGCCTTGTTCCTTACTCTTTGGACAGTCTGTTTCTTAATCAAATTTAAGGTTACAGCTGAGGGCTTTTCTTCATTCAAGGGAAACGAATGGGGCTGAAATTCTGAAAAAGTCAGAATTACCTTTTTGCCCTAAAACATATCAGACACAAAATAGGAAATCATGAACCAGATAGGCAGCTGAGACTCGTTAAAAGGAAATCCTGGTAATGACGGGAAAGAGAACAGTCACAGTGTGAAGGAGTTTCCAGCAGGATGCTTTGCACACCAAGTTTCTGGGAAGGCTTCTCTGCTCTCCACAGCTTAGAAAAGTGTCCATTGCACAAAGACTGGAGTGTGGTGGCTTTTGCTGTGGAAAAAGATACAGAGACTACTATTGCAACACTAGGGCCAGGCTCTAGGTGCTACAAGCACATCCATGTGCTAATGCCACCTCGTGCTGCCTTCAGATGACTCATTTGGGCAGGCTGAGCCCTGCCTCCCCAGCAGGTCACACACAGTGCTTGAACCCTTTGGTGCTTGAATCTCACTTGCTTTTAAAGAAACCTGATTTCCYTGCTGCTGAGTTGGTTGTTTTCTTCTCTTAGGTACCACCACATAAGCCAACTCGGAGGAAACCACCCTGCTCCCTTCCCTTGTATTCCCACAAAACTGAGACAAGTGACAATGATGAGCAAGTGAGTATCAATTTAATAGGGGGACAAGGTCTTTCCTCTCTGCAACCTGTTCTCTCCTGAGACTYGAGTTTGGAGGTGGCAGAGAGGTCAGGCTGTGCAGCCAAAGACATCAATCATGCAGCATCAAACCTGCCCCTGCTGTCACACATGTACTGACCCAGGGCCAGCTCCCTGCTCCTCCAGCATGGATACACAGCCCATTTCTGCTGCTTTTGTTTTCACCCTTAGCATGCTGATGGATCCATCCAGTGACGACTGTTCAGGAACCATTGGTATTTATTACATTTGAAACCCATGTTGTTTTTTGAGCATAATGGGGTAATACTTCTGAAAAAAAAAAATCGTGAGATTTTTCTAAAAATCGTGAGATTTTTCCATCTTCAGAAAAAGGGGATAATTAATCTAGAGTGAAGAGAGAATTTGTTGGCAATACCCACAGAGTATTTCTTTAGGACCCTTGAATGAGCATGTCCCAGAAAGCTGGATGTTGCTCACTAAATTTTACCCTAAAGCCCTCTCTGGTCACTTCTGTCCTGTATTTCAGGGTATGAGGTCTCCCCACCAAACTTCACATTRTCACCTGCCCTTAACAAGCAGGTAGTTCTTTGTCCTTCTTACCTGTGAGCAACAGGCTCTTGCTGCCTCCATGCCAAAGGAGCATTAAGCTTTAAATTAKCAGATTCCTTCCTTTTCCTTGCTGAAAAGAAGCAATATGCCCCTTCTCAAAGCAATGTTCTCTCTTTCTCAAACTGCTTCCAGCCTTTTCATAGCTTTACCTTTTCTGCCTATACTAATTGGATATCGTTTAACTCATGTTAGTCAAGTGGTGGCAGGAAATCTTTCCCATCACAGAAAGTTCACAATKTTTGCCAATATGAAGCCTTTAAGAGGTAGAATTTTTATCTGCCTGGGCCTGAAATAATACCAGGGGAGACTGTGCCACAGACTAGATACCTCAATGAAGGCAATGTAGCAACAGAGCCATTACACATCATCTAACTCAAACACTTCAGACAGCAGCCCTTTCCCCCAGAGGAGTTGGGCTGGCTAAATAAGAAAAAAAGAGAATGGGGTCAGGAAAGAAGAAAAATAAATTTTTGTGTGGAAATGCTGTATGAAACTTTATTTGCTTCCCTAGCAGCAGTTTCTGCTTATCTCTTTCAAGTTTTCTGCCTTTATAGTATTTCCTCTTTTTCACCTACTTTACTGTGACGTTTTCCTGTTTCATTTTATTTTGCAGAAGCGGTCACCAAATGCTTGTCCTGTTCCCAAGGTCAAGGTGAAAAGCTCACCCATGATTGAAAAGCTGCAGGTAGGTCCTGGAAGAACCCACATGGTTTCTTCCCCAGCAAATCAAAACTGATTGGCATTGGTCACAGCTACTTCCCCTGCAGTGCAGCCACAGGGMAAGGGGATGCAGGAGCCAGGGGTGACAGCCAGGTAAACATGGCCTCAGTGGTGAGCTTCTTTCCATGGTCTCACAAGCTTGCATCTTTCCGTGTTTTTTTCACAACTATGTATATAATTCAGAAGACCTGCAGATCAGGCTGGAAAATGTGAGCTCTGCTTCGGCATACGTGGGGAGGGTTTAAATCTTGAAGTGATTGCTGGCTGCTCGTTAAGGTTTTCTGCCAGCTCAGCCACTGCAGACTGTGGTGGCTTGGCTGGGTCACTGGAAAATCCCAAAAGGCCTCAGGATGACAAAAGAACATGTCCCGAGTTCCAGCTGCCAGGGAAAGACAAATGTCCAGTCATAACTTCTCTGCCCAGACTTGTTTGTTGACAGTGTCACCAGSAGAGGCCCACAACCACAAGGCCTGTGGATTGTGACAGCTGAGAGATGCAGCAGGGCAAGGGTTCCCCTGTGTGGTTATCGTGTGTAGCACATGCTGCTGTTATGAACACCCCTAATGGGGGGTTTTCTTTGCAGGCYAATCTGGCTTTTGCTCCAGCTGCTCTGCTGCCAGGAGTGTCTCCCAAAAGCCCTGGTCTGAAAGTCCTGGTTTCTCCATTCAGCACGCCTCCCTCAACGCCCACCAGCCCAGGAACTCAGTCCCAGCCCAGTGAGTCACCAGTGAGCTTTGATCARCCCCCAGAAAGCACTCAGCTGCAGTTCTACAACAAGGTAGGATATGTGTGYTAGGATTTCACCATTCCACAAGGCTTGCTTATTGCTTGGGGATGAAGAGGAAAAGGAAGTTGAGCCCTTAGTCCYTCTAACAATGTGCATTTGTGGCCAAGAGAGGAGTTCCATGCACCAGGTTCCAAACAGCCTTTCGGTGTAGCGCKGTGGAGTTTCCTCTCTGCCTGTCTGTGGCTCCAGCAGCCTTCCTGGTCCACTGGGTAAAGGAAGAGATGAAGGGGCAGCTCCCAATCACTTCATTTCAGCAGCAATAGGGTGGCTGATGCCAGGGAGAGCTGTGAGCAGGTGGTGCCATGTGGCAGTAAATGGCTGAGGTGGCCGAGGCTCAGTTTAGGAGCCACACAGAGCACGGCAGTCAAGTGTCACCACAGCRCTCTGGGGAGCTGTACCTGCATTCACCATCATCGACTCGAGTACAAACTCCTCCCTCAACCACCAAACTGCCCAGAGTAGRAAAGGCTGAGACATCCAATGGTGTTTTCTTTCCTCTGTTGTGCTTTCCTGCTTTCCAGTGCTGCTCCCTTGACTGGTTCAATGTCTGCTTTTCCTGCCTCCCAGGTGCGGACGCGAGGATCGATAAAGCGCAGGCCTCCCTCCCGGAGGTTCCGAAGATCTCTGTCTGAGTATGGAGATGGGGAAGATTTAGGGGTCAACTTGTCCTCTCCAGAAAATGGTGCCAGGGAAGATGAGGTCTTTGGGCCCAATGGCAAGACAGAGGAGGTGGAAACAGGGAGCAAAGAGCTGAAGAAACAGGCAGGTTCTGATGAGCAGCCAGCATCAAGGAGAGGATCCAGCAGATCAGAGGATGAAGAAAAAGGGAGCGAAGAGCAAAAGAAACAGACAGGGTCTGATGAAAAGCCAGCGTCAAGGAGAGGATCCAGCAGATCAGAATATGAAGCACAAGGGGGAAAAGAGCAAAAGATACATACAGGGTCCGATGAGAAGCCGCCATCAAGGAAAGGATCCAGTAGATCAGAAGATGGAGAAAAAAGGGAAAAACAGTCAGAGGAAACTACTCCTTGTGAGAATAACACAGAGAATACAAAGGAGGAGGAAGTGTGTCATGATGCCCCAGGAGAGAACTCTCCTCAGCCCCCCTCTGGAAACAATGAGATATGTGAGGGTCYCCAGGGAGAAGAGCAGCAAAGCACTGCCTGTGAACCAGGAAAGGGGGACAAGGAAGAAGCTGAAGCTGAAACAAAGGAGACCATCGAGAGCACAGACACACCGAGAATATCAGACCTTGAAGAATCAGCACTGGCACCTGAACCGCTGCAGGATGCAGTGGAACTAGAGACTGCCAGTGAGCCTTCAGCATCAGCATCGCAGGACCAGGGCACAGCATAGTTTTGGCACACAGGTAAGATGGGCCAGCGTGATGATGGCYCCTAAGATACCTGAGGGTTTTGCTGTTAACAAAAATGGCAACCGTGACAGAGCACAACAACACTGTTGCTGCTCCCCACATGTCARAAGTCTCAGATCTCAGGCCTGTAGAGGCTGTCAGGCAGGGTTTTCAAAATGACCATCCTGGAAAAGACAGGATGGAAAAGAAGCGAAGCTGATTCTGGTTTCAGTATCATGGAAAGGCTCTGCTCATCAGGTACCCTACTGCATTGCTGTTTTGAAAGCAATTTGAAAGTACTTGCAGTAAAAAGCACATTTCCCCAGCAGTAACCATGTAGACACTATATCAATATRACTCCTTACATATGCATATTTATATGTGTGCACACATTGTATATGTACATGTGTACATATATATTCCTATGTGTTTGTYTTGTTAGCTTTGCCAGCAAACCCAGCCACACCATTTCATGATCACCTCTGGAAGTGTGCAAGCATGGGCCTTTCCCACTTGAAATTAAAGAGGATTTCCATTTCTGGGTAATGCATGCCTTGTTCCATGCACCTTCTTGTGTGTTCTGTAACCGCTGATAATGAAGCCACAGATGCCTGAGGATATGTCTCATCCCACCTCAGCCACCTCCTCTTCAAATGCTTCCTTGGTTTGGCAAGGAGCAGCTCAAGAAGGAGGCTGGTGCTCAGGCTTCAGCTCACCTTTGCCTCCTAGCACAGAAACCACCAAATTACCCCCAGGACTTCCCAGCACTGTCTTTACTTAGATCCATGATTATTTTTCATTATTTCCTTACTTATTTTCCCCTCTCAAAAGGACATACCCAATCAGGGMAGAGGACACTTAACATGTGCATAGGAGCCATCTAAGCCAATCAAGGTGGAAGATACTGGAAAACCTTCAGTGGCAGGAGAGGAACAGAATGCAGAAATCACCTGAGGTCTGGACTCGTCACAGAGCTGAGTGGCCTCTTGATGGCTCTCTGCTTTGTACCATGTTTTGGGACAGCTGGAACAAGATGCAGTCTCTTCTGAGTTCAAAACTCAGGTGTTGGCTGATGTGTCTTGGTGATACTTGGGGAGTAAGAGACCTGATACCCGCTGGCTGTCCTGGAGCCAACAGCCACCATCACTCACGGTCCTTCTGCTTCTTCATCTTGCTCCAAAGTGTCGTCTTCTCCCCTGCATTGGTCTTAGATGAAGTTCATCAGTTACGTACATACATACACGTATGGTGCCTTTTTAATAGCTTCTTTTAAAGTACTCTGGGTTTCAAAACTTGAGTAAATAATGTTTTAACAATAGGAAACAGTATGTTTTCTCCATATATGCTGTCTGGCAGACAATGTGAACCTGAACACAGGGACAACTAGAACATTGATCATAAAAGAATAAAATCCCTTTGAAGTGGGGCTGATTTGTGAAATAGCTACCTTGGTAGTCTGGTAGGTCCTGTGTGCTTCAACTTTGGGTGCTTTTAGTGTGGTGGAAAATGACAACCAGCAGATGGGATGCAAAGAAAAGATGTGCTGATAAGGTCAACAGGGCAAGTTGTCCTGCCTGGCTCTGGGCTCCAGTGCACATTTAGAAGGACTGGTTGTCCATCAGTCTTTCTCACTTCCAGACCCTGTCCAGTCTGTTTTGAAACTTCTAGTATGTGGCCACCAAGAGCCACTCAYGATAGAAAGCATCCCAACTTCCTGGAAACAGACAAATAATTTTGTGCAGGTCAAAGAAGTCTTAGCTGGCTGAGTTTCCAGTGGCATTGCCTAGCTGAATTGGTGAAGGTCAGGCASCCAGTCCCTCCTAAGTGTTTATGCACTGTACTAGATTTGCATTCACTCTTGGGCTACTAAAAGTCATGGGCTAGCAGTCACTACGATTTTGATCTGGGGARTATTTGGGGAAAGCTGGACGTCAGATCCTCAGTCCACCAGTTTTCTGACAGCAGGAAGCTGGAAGTGCTTGAAGCTGTGCTGGTGACACTGAACACAATGTCCATAGTGTGAYGTGGAGCTGTGGACAAGCCTGGGCTCACTGTTTCCAGTTAGCCAGACTTGTCCACAGCTGAGCCAAGGCATCAGCCAGCTGTTAGGTGTTCTAAATGGTCAGAGGCCAATGCTTAAACCTGCTGCCAGCCRCCTGGTACCCAGCAATACAGACACGGCTGCAGAGACCAAGGGCAGAAAGAGCATCCCCGCTGCTCCTCATCCATCCCCACGCTCCTCCCAGCAAACATGAAGCTGAGCAGGAGCAGAGGCTTGTCTTGTCCCTGTCTCTCTGTAGAAGCACAAGCATTTCAYACCACCCAGCTCACATCTGTCCTCTGGCAGCCTCTGTGACACAGGAGTGTTACAAACCTGTGGGATAGCCCCTTTCTGTTGACCAGCTCTAAAAGCGCGAGGAAAGAGGAGGCTCTGTTCCCTGCTTTTCTTTTTCCAGGTGAAAGCACTGAGGTTGCACTTGCTGAGAGCCAGCAGCACTTGCCCTCCTGCATATCATGAACTTACTGGCAAACATGACTTCCACACTCTTTTGAGCCGTGCTGTGGAGCACTGTTGCGTTTGAATCCATTTTAATCTGCTTGCTATGGCTTCTATTCCAGGGCAGGCTGCAATCACTGGCTGTTCCCTGTTTCCTCTCTCAGCAGAGTGTTCCCATCTGGATGTGAGTGGTTGTGCCTYACTGTACATACAGATATATGTGTGCCTGTTTGGAGAATGTGTATGTGTGTCTCGAGCACGGGAATGGAAATCCGAGGGAGAAACAGAATCAATAAATGGTGGAATAAAAGCAAAACAAAAATCTCTGTGTTTTGTTTCCCCCTAGAGAGATGAAGAAACCTGAGGAAGAATGGGCAGAGCTGATAGCAGTGGGCAAAATAGGTTCCACTGCCATTARAACAGTTTAACATTTTCATTTAATGCGAGGGGGTAGCTGCTGAGAAATGAGAAATAGGACTTTTGGAAAGATCTGGGATGCAGGGGCGTGGAAACATCAGGATGATAGGAAGCATTAGCGGGACAGAGCACATCAGGGACAAGCGGGATCCAAGCCAGGAGGGTGCTGTGGGCTCAGAACCCCGAGGCGATGCCTGCGGCTCCCGTGGGTGCCGCTCGCGCCCGTGCCGCAGCGCGCGAYGTGGCCCGGGACGAACCAAAGCCGCTGGGGGCGGGTGGGTCCTATGGCCCCCCAATCCCCTGGGAACGAGCTCGCCCGCTTTCCAGCGCCGCCCCGCGCTCGGAAGGGGAATGGAAATGGGAATGGGAATGGTGGGTTATTCCTGCGCCTCCTCGGATGAGCGCGGGAGCGGGATCTGCGCGGAGAAAAAGAGCAGAGCGCCGCGGGGGCCGCTGCTCCCCCCCCGCGGGGACGTGGAGTCACCGTTAACGAGCGGAGCCGTAGGCCCGGGGGAAGGGCGATGCCAGGGATTACCATGGGAAAGGAGACGGAGGGGGCGAAAAAGAAGAAATGAACTCACCCCCCGCTGTTAGGGAGGGCAGCCATGTGTTACGGAGCTCTGGGCAAAGCCGCTGCCAGTGCSGTGGTGGCTAAAAAAGACAGACCCTCACAAACACTGATGCAGGCAAACGGAGCGGGAGGTGGCGGGACGACACTGAAGTGCTGAGCTGGGAAAGCACTAACAGAGCGGCTCGTTGGTCTAGGGGTATGATTCTCGCTTCGGGTGCGAGAGGTCCCGGGTTCAAATCCCGGACGAGCCCGCTGGGAAGGGAGCGCAGTAGCGCTCTCCATTTTGCTGCCGCGGGGCCCCCCTGCGGTTTTGCGCCTCGGGCCCTCCCGCAGCGGGAGCGGGGGCGCGGGGACGACGCCGGAGTGGGGCCGGAGCTGGAGCGGCCGCGGGGTGCGGAGGCAGAGCCGCTCGGCAGGGTGAGGAGCTGCCCCGCAGCGCCGTCTCAGTGAGAGAGAAACGTGGGGGTCTGCCTGGGAAAAATGAGTGTAGCGACGTCAGGTGCGAGACGAAGAGGAGCGGCTGCGCCCTGGTGAGTTATTAACGTTTTTCCTTGCACTGAAAAACCGGGTGGGTCTCGTTGTMAGTCCTGTCTGTGTCGGTTCGCCGTGTGCAGCAGCCGTCCCTGCTGCCGCAGGAGCGCAGCGAAGAAGGAAGAAAAATTTTTAAAAAACTAGGGCTCGTCCGGGATTTGAACCCGGGACCTCTCGCACCCTAAGCGAGAATCATACCCCTAGACCAACGAGCCGCCATGAGTAGCAGTTYCTCTCCCGTGTCCAGGAACGCTCTGACACCGCCGTGTGGGCCCTGCCTGGGACAGCTCCTGCCAGCCTCGTCCCGCCTCCCGCCGTGCTCCCTGTCCCCGAGGGGGCACATGCCGTGTCCCTGAGGGGACACACGCCATGTCCCTGTGCCTGTCCCTGCTCCCCGGGTTCCTGCCGGGCAGTGCGGCAGCCCTGCCTGCCCGTGGGTGCGAAAGCTGCTCGTACGTTGTGAGCCATCGGCCGCGGCAGCCAGGCCGCAAACCCCGGCCCGATGAGGGGAAATTCATGGTTCATTTTCGTAATTTCAAACTGTGCCACAGCCAAGCAATTACTTTCCCACCTTACAGGTGATGGTTTTATACAGACCCACTTAAACAGAGAGTCTTAGACCTCTGATGTTGGCCAGGGTAGAGGTCAGTACTACTTTGGCTTTTGCCTCTGCACAGTAACTGCCGCTAAACTAATTTTGCCAATATTCCAAGAAGCTAGGGGAAATGTAAGAGGGAGATAYAGGAAGACAAATTGCTTCCATTTTGTGTACTTTCTTATGTATCAAGGTTATCAGGAAGACTTGTGACTGAAATTATTCTGGAAGAGGTCATMATTAGCATCCTTTTCCACCCTGAATTTTCCTCAGAATGCTCATCCTTGCATTGTGGGTGATCCAGAGCATTCTTCTTAACCAAATGATGGAAAAGCCAAATTATGGAAGAAAAGACAGAGAGGGGATTTCYTCAATATATACAAACACCTCAAAGGTGGGTGCCAAGAGGAGGTGCCAGCYTCTTTTCARTGGTGCCCAGTGACAGGACGAGGAGCAATGGCCACAAAATAAATCACAAAATGTTCCACTCAACATGAGGAAGAACTTATTTATGCTGAGGGGCCAGAGTACTGAAACAGCTGCCCAAGGAGGTYGTGGATTCTCCCTCTCTGGAGACCCACCTGGACATGTTCCTGTGTAATCTGCTCGAGGTGACCCTGCCTTGGCAGAGGGGTTGGGCTGGATGATCTCCAGAGGTTCCTTCAAGCCCCAACAACTCTGTGATTCTGTGAAAAATAGTTCCCAAACTCTTCAAGGTCCGTTTGCAATTACTGCGTTTTGAGTTTCGAAAAAAGCATTGTGTTTCTGTTTAACCAAAGTAAACACGAATGTGGCATTATCTACTAGTCACAGTTTCTCCCAACTTGAAAAGAAAACATAATGTTGTAATAGATAGCCAGTGCTTTCTTGCACGAATAGAGCCTGTTTTTTTTTCTTTGTCTTTCATGTTCTTCTCTTACTAATTCAAAATGGGTTTGTTTGGTGGGATATTTTTTGCAAGAGTGCATATCTTTGCACACTAAACAGTGTCTACTGTACAATTCCTCTACGTGGTACAGAGATGCAGGCTGAAGAGAAAACAAAACCATTAAAAATGTAGAATCAGTCTGAATATATTTGCTTCTTCTTCTAGAATTTATTACCCTTTTTTTAAACATCAAAATCCTGCTTGCTATCTGTGGCAAGCTACTACAGACCTCTCCAAAACAGTAGGATAACAAAGGTCTGAATTTCTAACATAAACAACAGCTGCAAAAAAATGTATTTAATCTCTTCCCCAGTGATACACTCAGGTTTATATATTCCTTTTGTGATAAGCAGAAGAAAAAAAAGAAGACAGGAAAGTGTTTTTCCTTCTGTTGTGAGACTGAATGCTGATGTTATTGTTTGTGAGAAAGCTCAGAAACGAGTTGGGCAATTTGACAGCAGCCTGCCAGGAGGATGCTGTGGCTTGAGCACTCCTACCCTGTCACTGCTGCTTGTCTGACCTTTGGGGGAATGGATTCAGCAGGAAGAAAAGTAACATCTCCCAGCTCTTCATATACAGACTRAAAAAAATCAGTTTTTTGCCAGCTRAGTGTRCTGAATTCCYGAGAAGTTTGGTAAATAGCAGTATTATCACTAGACAGAGTATAGTTATACAGCTAAAAGGAAGACARTGCAATGTATGTTCCTCAGGATGAGTTAAGTTGTCCCAGCACCCTAACTTGTCTCTGGAARCAGCAGAAGGGATTAATTTGATTGTATCTGTCTGGATAAAGAATTTTTTGCTGTAAGGAGATCAGATACTCTCCCAGATGTTCTCTGTACTGAACATCTGTATTATTACACAACAAACAGGGCAGTCAGGGATGTTCCTGTGTCATCTCAGCTCTGTCAGGGAAGGGAGAGTGTAGGTAAGGGTCATGTGTGGCCAAGTCAGATTTTTTAGTACATAAAAAGGGAACGTGAGCTCTGTGAGGGGCAGTCAGTTTGAGAATATGAAAAATGCAATATTAAARAAAAMAAMCAAACAACAAACAACTTTAGGTTTGCAATCTTGCAAAAATGCCTGGAAAGGTGAGGCTTGGCCTGTTCAGAGGATTGARCATTTTTAAACTGTGCAGTGCTGAAGGACCTGGAGGTAAACAGTGAACTCCAGGTACTGAGGTGCTTCCGTGTGGCGAGAGCGCTTCCAGTCACCGAGGTGAGCTATAGGGTTGGGCGGAGTTTCTATGAAAAATAAGAACTCTGAGGAAGTATTGAGGCAAAAGGGCTTGGAATGCAAGGCTTACCACTGCCTGTCAGTTCCTGCTCTATTTGGAAAGCAGGGATATTGATGAGTTGGMTGAAGACCCACCCCCAAGGGAAGTCAGAGGGACCAAATGAGGTCCTGACCAAACAAGGTGATAATTCCCTGTGATACSAGGAGTTGTCTGTGTTGTTGGTATTTATTCCCAAGTRGTGTCCTGGATTTCRGGTGGCCTGGGTTTCTAGAAAACCTGTACAACAGTTAGATGAGGAACATGCTCCAGAGCTTCTCCCKAGGGTATAAATAATGCATGGCATAAGATGTTAACATTTTAAATCCCATGGGAACTGCAACCTGGTGTCTGGCGTCACAGCTGGAAAAAATATAATTTGCCTGTGTTTTTGTAGGAGCTTGCTTTGTTACGGCTCACAGGAGATGGCCTTTGCTGTKGCCTCTTTGATCTGCAGAAGGAGAGTGGCAGAAAAACTGGTGGGCACAGGGATTTGGGAGACGACCAGCATCCATGGAACACTGGGCAGGAGCAGAACACCCCACAGGCCTCTGATGGCTCACGGATGCAGTGAGCAATAGTAGCCTTGAGATATGACTCAGCTTGTGCAACTTCTTTGAAATGCATGGTTAGGAAAACACGGCACCACAAAGAGGTTCTCAGAAGCAAGGAGGAAGAGGGAAGGATGAAAGCTTGGTCTCAGGGAGTGTGTAACAGCTGGGAACCCAGTCAGCAAGGCGAGGGAAATTCCAAACAGATATTTTCAGGCGAAAGGCAAAGGAGGCTKTGTGAGCTCCAGGAGAGCTCCTGAAGGAGCCTGTGCTTACAGGCAATGCACGCTGAAACAGGCTCTCTGAGTTAACAGGGAACAGCAGGTAGGATTTCTGTGGAGGCAGRAAAAACCACCATTGTCTGTGCTCAGAGCTTGCAGCAGCACTCTCCCGCTCCCCTTGGGGCAAACCAGCACCGTAATGTGCACCTGGGGAGCTC